CTCATAGACGTGATCCAGATGACAGCGGGAAGAGTGCAATAGAGACAGAGAGATATAAACAGAGATGGCATGTGTTATGGTTTCACATCTCTGAATGATGATCTTTAGCACAAGGTTGGCACTTGCAAATGACCTCTTGTGTCGATCCGGAGAGCAGGAAGTTTTAACATCTCCTTATGTCCAATCCAACTGTCCCTGATGAAAGAGACAGGTGATATTACCTCACACGCGCACATTATTGAGGGGAGAGAGTGAGTATTTCCATTTTTCTGCCCTGTTAGAGTTTATAAATAGTTAGCGGCAGCTTGTGATTGGGAGAGGACGTCCTACACTGAGATATCTTATCTTAAACAGACTCTTCAAAGCTCCAAAAGGAAACACACAGCCTGAGAAATGGGGACTGTAATCTGAGGATGTTAGCAGTGCTGTAAGTTTGTATTTATAAAAGAGAAAGATTAAACAATTTTTCCCAAAATCAAGCTCAAACTAACTTGATCCCGCCCCTCCAATGCCAGGAACCATGCAGTCTAGCAACATATCTGGTCCACTTTCATAGATTCAGCAGTATAAACCTTGCAAGCTTTAACAAATCCACCCACTTTTGTTCTTCAGAAGTGCTCGTTGTCGCAGCCCTGGCAACTACACTAAAGACCCTAGCAACTGCATAACAATGCCATAAAACCATTCAGAACACCTTGGCAACCACCTAGCAACACCCCAGAAAGCACCAAAGACACACTATCAACTGCATAGCAATGCACAAAAAACAATTTGGGAAACACCTTAGCAACAATCTAACAACAACCCTAAACACCCTAACAACTGAATAGCAAAGGCCTAAACCCACTCAGAACACTTTAGCAAACACAAAGCAATACCCTCTGGCAACTGCGTAGCACTAAACCCCATTTAGAACACCCTAGCAACAACCCAAAACACACTAGCAACTGCAGAGCAATGGCATAAAACCCACTCAGAACACTTTAGCACACACAAAGCAATGCCCTGGCAACTGCATAGCACTAAACACTATTTAGAACACCCTAGCAACCACCTTGCAACACCCTAGCAACTGCATGGAAAATTAACAAAATAAGCACTCTGAATGTTTTTTCTAACCACATAGCAACACCCTAGAAACCACCCAGAACAGTCTAGCCACTGCAAACTTTGACAAATACAGTCTTCTTCAGAGGTACTTCTTGCAGCAGTCCTGGGAACTTGTAAACACGACCTTGCTTCCTGTGACTCAGTGATGTTGAGTAGAAGCTAGCTAATCTGATCGGAGCTAGTGCTTTTGAGACAGCTTTATGCTGTTTTGAGAAAGCTCTTGATGATTTTTATGCTTGTAGATGGTCAGCAAAAGGTCTGAGACATATGGAACTGTGTGACTTTTGACCCCTAGGAGGAGGTGATATGATCATGTCCCATAGACGTAAAGAAAAGGTTAAAGGCCATTAGTTCTGCATGCTCTCCATCTCACTTCTGCATCAACAAGGTTTAAATCTGGATTTATGACTAAACCTTTAGAGGCTTAAATCCGAATATAACCTTTAGAATAGAGTGGAATTTAGAATTGTGGTCAAGGATTTTTACATCCTACTAACTGCAAACTCTTTCATGCATTTGGAAATCCCCTAAAAACAATATTTCCACATAGTGAGGTAGATATGTGGGGGCGTGTTAGAACGAGCCGTTTTAGGGGGGCGTGGCAGAGTCTTAACTTTGATAAAGAATATCTCTTTGGTTTTGAGACTTTAGTCTTTGCAACTTCAGGGATCGTATCTATGCACAATCAGTTTGTAACACTCCAAAGAGAAAGGAAAACTTGAAATCGCATCATATGACCCCTTTAACTGGTGGAAAACATGCTTCAGGAGTGTTTTAGTTGAATGTCTGAATCTAAATATATTCTGAGATGTTGTGTGAAGGTGCTGGGATTTCCACGCTGTGTGTGTGTGTGTGTGTGTGTGTGTATCAGTTCACTGTAAACGGGGATAACGGGTCACAGAGGAAGGCAGAACATTTGTGGGTGGAACCTCAGCAGCTTCCTGTCCCGGCTCAGTGGGTTCAACCTCACTGGGGACTCGTGGAGGTCGTGGAGCTGTCAGTCATGTGGTCATGTGTTCATGGGAAAGTTTGAGCTGGAGCAGAGATGAATATGACATTGCAGTTACAACACAAAACTGACCTCAGAGCAGAGCTTCTGCAAAAGAGACATTGAAAGAAAACACTGCACTGTGTGTTTAATTAGTTTAATTTGATTATGTTAGCTCTAATTTTGTTTAGCACTGCTTTGGCAATACAAATTTAAACTTACAGTATATACGGCACTTCTGTTTATTTAAGTTTAATGCTGCTTTGGCAATAAAATTCGTAATTTATTTATACTGTACTGCTGTTTAGTTTAGTTTAGTTCAGTTTAACGCTGCTTTGGCAATAAAATTCATATTTTGCACGGCACTGTTATTTAGTTTAGTTTACTTAGTTTAGTTTAATTAGCACTGCTGTCAGGGTTATTTTCTGTTTCGGTTTAGTTCTGTGTTCCTTGTTTAATTTGACCCAGTTTCCTTTGTTCCCATTTTCTCTCCACTCATTTGTTTCCATAGTTACTCATTAGTTCTCACCTGTTCTGATTCTGTTAATCATCTGTCTATTCAAGCCCTCAGTTTAGTCAGTTCCTTGTCTGGTATTGTTTGTATGTTTCAGTAGCTGTGTCATGGTTTCTCCTGAGAAATCCCATTGGATTTATTATTAAAGACTTTTAGTTTGTTGACTTCTGCATTGTGTGCTTGATCCTGCACAACACGTTTACAACTGCTATTGCAATACAAATTCAAATTTTACACTGCACTGTTGTTTTCTTTAACACTGCTTTGGCTATAGAAATTCAGGTTTAATACCACACTGTTGTTTACTTTAGTTATTTGACTTATTTTAGTTTAGTTTCGCACTGCTTTGGCAATACAAATTCAATTTTAACACTGCACTGCTGTTTAGTTTAGTAGTTTTCAGTTTAGTTTATTTTAGTTTAATATTGTTTTGGCAAAAAAAAAAATTGACCCTAAACTGTTGGTTTGTTTAGTTTTGTTTCAGTTATTTTGCTCTGCTTTGACAATGCAGATGTACAGTTTTAGTTCGTTACAATGCACTGTTATTTAGTTTTGAACTAAATTGAGAGCGAAAGGAGAAAGAATGGAATTTCCCATGTTTTTCTTTTCTCTCTCAAAAACTTCTCAGAGAACTAAATTTAGGAGCATTGGAGATACTCTCAGTGACACTATGAAGAGGAAGGTCATTTTCCTGCTATTTTTGTTCTCTAGAGACCCCCTCAGCTCCCTCCATATTTCTCCCCTGCTGTGAAAGTCCTGTTAATTGTTTTCTCTCTGTGTTTGTTGGGAACATGTTGCCCTTGACCCCCTGGTTGCAGAGAGAGAGAGACCCCCACTCTCTCTGTCTGACGTCATGTGGGAGCTACCACTCAAACAAACTTTCTCTCTCTCTCTCTCTCTCCACCTGGTGTGTTCATGATCAATCGTTGCTCTGTTTATCCCTCAGTTTTCTTCATTCCACTGTTCATGTGACCTCTTTTGTTCTACACATGCACACAGTCAGACTTCACGCTACAGTATTTCTCTCTCTGCTCTGGTCTGCGGCCAAGTCCCTTGTTCCTTCCAGTAGATTGTCCTCCTCCACAGAGCGAGGGAGGGTTGGCTGGGGGAGGTGGAGAGAGGGAGGCAGGAAAAAGAGAGAGAGGAGAACCCAACAGTATGTAAACACCTCGTGTCGAGGACAGGCTGTTCTTAAGTTTGGCATCTCCAAGGAATTGATTTATAAAGCTTAAGCTTTTTAAAAAAAAGCTTTTCCCCCCCTGATTTTAGAGCAGCAGAAGATCTCTCTGAGCTCATGTGATCAATCAGAAAACCACATCTCTGTCTCATTCTTTCACCACAAACCCTCGCTGTAATGAACACAAGCTGCATTTCCTGTATTACTAACTGGCAGGAGCATTGCGTGCAGCTACCTTAAGACACTAATTAGTGCTGTGCGCCTATTATAAAAAAATCTGGTAATCTCCTTTTTTGATTGTTTAACCTGTAAACACCTTGTTATGATTTTCTGGCTTTACCAAATGCATTTTGTTAGGAGATGGATTTAAAAAAATATATAATATAAAATTAAAAAATAGTTTTATTCACAATTTTTTTTTATTTGAATACTTTATATTGTTGTTGGATACCTGAAGCACTGTAAGATACTTAAAGCACATTTGACCTCAATTTGCATCTTTCTTTATTATTTTATTTATTAATGGCTGTTTACTGAATAAATTACATTGAAACACTGTTCATTTAATTGAGAATTACTTTATGGCTACATGCCATTGTTTTAATATAAGTGTTTTTTATGTAACATTAATAATTTCAATATTTAATTTGATATTTATTAATTTTATATTATATTATAATAAAATTATGTGTACTTACAAATTATTCAATCATATTAAAAACAATAGTACGATGTAATGTATTTATTAATGACTGTTTACTTCAATAAATTAGTTTGGGGGGGAAAACCCCCCTGAAAAACAGTTTACTTAATTGAGAATTACTTGATGGTTATATGCCATTGTTTTTTTTATCTGTTATTAAATGTACAGTATTAACATGTAACTTTTTAATAAAGTTATTATGGTTTTAGTATTTTGTTTTATATTATTATATTTCATTGTATTCAAATATTCATATAAATATTTAACTTGTGTTAATCACATTGTAAGCTTTATAAATCAGAAAAAACAAAGGTGCAAAAGATTCTGTACTTTTCAATTTCAAATTCAAATTATGCATTTTGAATTATGTAATCAAATTAAAAACAGTGGTATGATGTAAAACTATTGATTTATTGTCATGACTGTAAGTATTAAAACACACACACATATAAATATACAGTATATATATATATTTTTTTTTTTTCTCGCAAAATATAAAGATATGGACCTGATTACATCAGTTTTGTGCCATAAGTTTTTGATACGAATATACACAGAAAATCAGATTTCTGCTTTCCTGTCCAGGTATCTGTGATTTATGTAGTCTTGTAACCATGACGTGGCTGTTGGAGATGATCTCTACTGATTAATCAGCTCTGCATTTGGTAACACCCTGAAAAACGCTGACTAGCTTTAAAGACCAGAACATGACCGTAATGTGAACAGATCCACAAGCTAATTACAGAATCACTGGAGTCATTTTGTGTCATTATTGGCATTATGTTGTCTTGAGCGTTATCAAACACAAACCCAGTGCAGGAAGTGAGGCCCACGATTTTTCCTGTTCAGAGAGATTTTCAAAGTGTTTCTGTTTGGTGGAAATGAGGCCGGCAACAGCACAGAGGACAGAGGGGGCGCAGAGAGAGTGTTTTAGCACTGAGATGAGGCTAACGCGATCGGACGGCTTCACTGAGGCGAGAGAAAGAAGGAGGGAAGAGAGAAAAGACATGCGGGGGATGTCGAGGGACCTCTGGGACGCTCTTTCTGCTTTTAGGTGAAACCGCGGCTCCACTTGTACCTGCAGCACCTCCTCTCTGAGGAAAAGAGAAAGAGAGAATGCTAAAATGCTGAAAATAACAATGCAAAGACAATTTTAAAAAGAAAAACAACAACTGCATGTTCAAATGGCTGGAGAACCTGCTGAAAAGCATACATTTCCATCAAATTCCATGCTGGTCCACACTGGTTTAGGTTAATTAGGGCTGGTCAACCTAGTAAAACGGCATACTCTTTCTTGTGAAGCTGACTGACAAAGGTAGTGTTGCTGGTTAAGAACAGAATCATACTCTATGCAAGTATGTAACAGCAAAAAAAAAAAAAAAAAACTTGAAAAACACTGTTTACTTAATTGAGAATTATTTGAGGGCTACATGCCATAGTTCTACTTAAATCTGTTATTTATGCTTATATTTACTGATTTATTTTTAATATTTATTAAAACTTTTAAAATAAAGTTATTTTAACATGTTTTGCTTTATATGATTATATTTCATTGTATTAAACATATGTATATACATATTATAAATCAAAAATATACAAATACTATAAATCTAAAATATTTTAAATATCATAAAAGCGCAGGTAGCTAACAATAGATGGAGGACCAAAACACTGTAAATTGAATTTAATTAATTAATCAATAAATAATTAATTAAACCAATTAAGAATGATTTATAATTAAAATTACTTTAGGAAATAATATGAAATAATGTATTTGATCATAGGAAGAAATTATGATTTATTATTAAAACAGCAACTTCTGGAAATATTTTTATTTAAAGTAGAAATAATGCTTAATTATTAAAATGGCTTTTAAAAATAGTATGTTTATTATGGGGAAAAAAAATTTAATTGCAGTAGTGCTTTTGTGAAGGTGGATATTAAATGCTGTGTTTTCATGGAATATTAAACAAATAAATAGAGGTATATTTATTTATTGGTTTAATTATTTAGTGACTTAATTGTTTCGCAATAATAATTGCTTTCATTAATTATTAATACATTTAATTATTTCATTTAGAGTATTTTTGTCCTTAATACCTGTAAACATGTTTGTTTACCGTGCAATAGTAGTACCCCCTGAATGTGTTCTGATGCATTTATGAAAGCAATGTGAAATCACGCTTGTATAGCAAGAACATTCACGTGCATTCAGTATATTTTGGGCTGAAGAAGCCTTCATACCAAAACACAACAGCAGTGTCTTTTCAGCAGGGAAACTAGAATTTTGGTGACCTATACAGTACTGAGTGCTGATCCGTTCCACACCTGCTTTCTCTTCACCGTGAAGAAGCGAAGAGCTGTCACTTTCAGGTAGCAGAGGCTAGAAGATGTTAGAGGTGTGACATCATGTCCAGACACCCGCGGCCTCCTGGGAGTCTGGCTGTGGTGAATCGCCTGGAGGAGAGAAAGAGAGGTGTGATACACAGCCTGATCAATCAAAACAAGAAGAAGAAGAATAAAAACCTAGATATATGATTGGTACCAATTTATTTGGCTGATGTTGGATATTCAACTGTGCATGATCATTTCCCATATTTTTACATTTAGATTACCTCTGCTGTCATCTAAATTTTCCCTTATATAATATTTTGCAGATCTCAAAACGTATATCCATTTTTCATACTGTACTTTACAATGTTGTGATGCCTACAGTTATTTGTAGCAGGGTTATTATAGTTAACCCAAATAAAAATAAAAGATTAAAAAAAAAAAAATTTGTTAATTTTCGTATTTTAAATTATTTTAATGTACTAAAGTAACTAAAACTGAAATAAAATTAATTTATTATTAAAATCTTAACGATACTAAAATAGCACTGGCTTTCTAGCATTTAAAATGTATTTTAGTTTGCAATATTTAATTTTAGTTTTATTTTGAATTTACTTACTTTATTTTGAATTTATTTTTAAAATACCAAAATTGATTACATTTACATGTATTTAGCAGATGCTTTTATCCAAAGCGACTTACAATTATTAAATATATTTTTATATTTAACATTTATAACATGAAAATATTTATTGGTTTATAATTATTGGCTGGAATTGAGAAAATCATCGGACAAAATACTAACATTATCACAGTTGGTGGAGACATTTGGTGTTGTCCTTCCATAGGAAAATCCATAAAGTGTTTTCCTTCTTCTCCGAACAATGGAGTTGTCCTGTCTTTATGCTCAGGTGTATAATTCCTCGGCCTTCCCTTCCTTCGATGACCTCACTTCCTGTCTTTCTTCTCTTCACACTTCCTGTTCGGCAATAGGTTGTTTTTTTCCACAAGCTGCTTCTTAAATCGAATGTTTCCATTGGGAAATCGGGGCCCCATGAATTCAAACAGTGGCCTTGAGTTAAGGCAAGCTACGACTAAACTAGCCATGCCAACTTTATCTTTTACTTCATGGTAGATGGCAAGCGAGCAGAAACTTTTCTTTCCGAAGCCACAGTGCTGTGAATGATTTAGCGTCCCTGCGGCGGTGCTGCTGGGAACAGCAGGGCTACACCGGCTCAGGCTTTAGAGCTCATCATTTATGGAAGTTCAGGGGAGAGAGAGGCTTGTTTTGACCCAGCTAGAGCTTCCTGGAGCTGGAGAGCATGAATAAGGCATGTTCAGCCTCCGCTCTGTCTGTACGGTAGGCCTCAGACGACGTGATGGAGTCCAGGGAGGAACAGGAGGGGCCGGTCACAGGAAAACACACAAGGGGCCACACGGGAGGCATGTTGTGACTGGGAACAATGAGGTTTATTTAGCATGACAGCAGCAGCAGGAGATGCAATGAACACGAGAGCTTCAATCAGGTGTGTGTCCGGCTGCCTTCAGATCAGTGGACGGCAACATGTTTAGCCAACGACTGCTGATTCTCTTTTAAAATTTTACTTCATAAGGAAAGGGATCTTAAAGGTATAGTTCACCTAAAAACTCTCATGTCATTCCAAACTTGTTTTAAATGGCTCATTTTGGATCTCTTTTGCATCCAATTACAATGAACGTGGACATAAAAGTAGTCCATATGATTTGTTTACTATATTCGAAGTCATATGATAGCTTCCTGATAGAAACAGACTGAATTTAAGCTGTTAGATTACCTTTGCCATCATCTAATGCTCAATTAAGTTAATGTTTAAAAACATTGACAATTTAACTAATATGATATAGCAAATCTCAAAATGATTATCTCTTTTTCATACTGTACACTTTAGGTTTTAGGTTTAGCATTTACTAAACAGCATAAAAGTAGTTTTTGCACTATATTCCAAGTCATATAATAGCTTTGTGTGAGAAACAGACTGAATTTAATTCAATAATTGTTATTCATTGAAAATCTTGGCATCTGCTTCTATTAGGGTTAATGAGACAACAGCGATTCATCAATGAATCATTCTTTTGAATCAAATCTTTGAAAAGATCGGTTCATCTGTGTGCAGAGACACACAACCAGTCTGCATAATTTATTCATGAATCAGTCTGATTCGGTTCACTGATTCAATGATTCAGTCACAGCAGTTGAACATTACTTGTGAATAACTTTTTCTTCAGAATGTTTTGTTCTGAAAAGAGATTTTTTAATGTATGACTTCAGAAGACTTGAAATACAGTACACAAGTTGTATGGACTACATTTCGTTTTTATTGTCCTGACATTGATAGTAGCCTACTTGTATTTCATGGAAGAAAGAAAGTCATTTTGGTTTGAAATGACACGAGGATGAATAAATTGTGACGTAATTTTCATTTTCATAATTTTCATTTTGAACTGTTCCTTTAAGGGAGCCTGATGGGCATCTCTGTCGGTCTCTACAAAGGTGGACACCATATTTCCAACATTCAAATGCAAGATTTTAGGAATCAGTCATTGAAAACTCAATATTGATTCATCACTAATCTGATTATAGTGATGGGCATGCAGTGTCTATATGTCAGTTACAGCGCTGCTCTCTGCCTTCACATTTGAGTGCTGTGATTTGTGAGATGAACATTTGATTACACATGATGAATTAAAAATTGAAAGGATGGCTTTCCTCTCCTTCTCTGTTTTCATGTATCTTTGATGTGCATTTCATTTTTTTTCTGTGGTTCGCTCTCAGACCCAGCATAACATGCACATAAGGAGGTTTTTAGCTTGGGTTGGGTAATGAACTGTAAGATTTGACTGTGTGGAAGAAAAGGCAGTGAGACGGAAGACGGTCCCTCTTGAGGGCTGCTAAAAGCATGCTGTCGTAAAGCCTTTCTACCGCCACACCCCACCAGGGCAACAATCGCTGAATCCCATGCATGATGCAGTACACTGAACCCACACTGGCAGGATTTTGTTAGAGTGACCATAAGTCCTCTTTTTTTCCCAGACAAGTCCTGACCGGGATTTCTAAATCTCCTAAAATGTCCAGTTTTGGCTTTGCTTTCCTGTTGACATGCTCTCTACAGTCCTCATACATTATATTATATGTACACGTTTTTGCATCGCTTTGACTGTTCTCTGTAGGTCTCACCTTCTCACACGCCATCATTGGATGATTATGTACAATGCCTGCATGCTATTGGTCAAACTACTTTTCAGTCATTACCTTAAGCAAGTATGAAAACAATAGGAAAACAAAGCCAAAACCTGGATGTTTTATGCAATTTAGAAATCCCAGCCAGGACATGCCTGGGAAATAGAGGACTTATGGTAAGCCTAATTTAGGAAGACCAGCTTCACCAATACTAGCATGAATTTCGTGTTGATTTGGTGAACTTTTCTGTTGAAGCTTGTTGACTAAGTAACTAGCTTAAACAGAAACATTTCTTTGATCAACCAGCTTTACTATGACGATCATGTTGGTCCTCCAGCTAGACCAGCACCAAACCATTTTAGACCAGCATAGAAATTAACGCTGATTTTTATAATTAATAAAGCTAAACTGATGGAGCATGGCACTGGGAATGCAATATGCTTAATTTATGGCTTTACAGGGTTTCTCTGGTTATGAAAAATCTGGAAATTTTAATTGTGGTTTTGCAGATTTGAAAAAGTCATTAAAATGAATAGAATCTTGAAAAGCATTTATACAAAATGTAGTTTTATGTTCAGCTAAAATATTTCATTAGATATTCAGATTATTTAGTTTCATTGTCAAATGTTTTTTCAATTATCCTTATCCCGAAATCAATAACAAGACATTGAAAAGTTGTGCAAATTCATTGGTCAAAAATGTGTGGGAACCAAGGTTGTGCAAAATTCAGAATTGACTATTTCAGTTCATGAGTTGGGATTTGAATTGCATTGGCTAAACTAAACAGGAAATTTAATTGGATTGACAGGAAGAGGAATTGTAATTCAAAGACATTCAACACAGGTGATGCATTCTGGGAAATGAAGTCAAATTCAATTTTGAATTGGGCAATTTAAAAGGCATTCTCAATTCAGTTCTGAAAAGTGCACAACCCTGCTGGGAACCTCACTTGAACTTACTGTTGCTTTGGAAATTGTACATGCTGATCTTTTCAGCTTAGACAGTTTTCTCAAGTTTGGACCAGGCTGAAAGTCCATGTCTGTGATCTTTCACTGCTATATCAGGTGGACGCTTCGGGGGGCCAGTGTCACTCCGGCCCCTAGTCAACAATACGACTGACAGCCAGACCTTTTAAGGCAGAAAAAAGACAGAAATGATCAGTAAGACACACAAATGAACTCACCACTGCATGGACACACAAGCCTTAGCTGGGACTGATATTTCTCTTCATGCTTTGATGTACATGAGCGCCTCTCCTCCCTAAAAGGACAGAGAGGACCTATTAGCTCAGAAATAGACCTTTAAAATCCTCAAGCTAATAAAAGACTTTCAAGCTTCTTGACCACACGGGTTTACAAGACCCAGATCTTCCATACCGATAACGCAGGATTACGTAGTAAACTCCCACTTCCATCTTTTTTCAGATTATCCTTTTAAGTAAGGGTTTTCAGGTCTTTATATTAGTTCGATTTCGTCTCTCGCTCTCCGTCAGTGTGTTTTATCAGCTGACGAAGGGCTGGAGTGCTCAACTGCTGATTTGTTGGAAAATAAACACTGACAGTTTAATTTATCTCAGCTGCTCTGGACTCCATAAAAGGCCTTGGTCTTCTGAAAGTCATTTGTTTACATTTGAGCTCTTGGACGTTATGTTAATATGAGAACGGGAATAGAAAGCCAATGGGTGTCGTAAAGAATGTTTAAGCTTTGCTAATCAACAAATCTGTGCTATTCTACTCTTATATGACATATCTGGGTGAGGAATCATTCAGCGGGCTGGTTTATTTAGTTGATGTGTGTCAACAGCTTTGGACTTCTGTGTCTAGTCATGCTGAAAAGCAGAGGAAAGAGATATTTATGAATTGTTTGGGAGGAAATGAGGAGAGGGATCTTAGTTAGGTTCCCGCATCAACTTTGTCTGAGATGTTTCGGCCAAAATCATACAAACAGAAACAAATAAGCCAAGAGATACAGTAAGCATATACACTCTTAAAAATAAAGGTGCTTCACGATGCCATAGAAGAACCTTTTTGTCTAAATGGTTCCATAAAGAACCTTTAACATCTGAAGAACCTTTCTGTTTCCCAAAAGGTTCTTTGTGGCGAAAGAAGGTTCTTCAGATTATAAAAAGGTAAGAAAGAGATGGTTCTTTAAAGAAGCTTTGACTGAATGGTTCTTTGTGGAACCAAAAATGGTTCTTCTATTGCATCGCTTGAAGAACCTTTTGAAGCACCTTTATTTTTAAGAGTGTAGAGTTATAAAAGATATGCTTTTATTGCATGTAAGATAGTTTCAGAAGAAGAGAGTTTCAGAAGATATCTCAAGATTTCCTCAGATTTGTCAAGCGATCAAAAGTCAGAGATCTCAATATGAGCTCAAATATTTCTCATCAAATTCTTAGACTGAGCTATGCCATCCATATTGTTTTATCTCTCTGTACTATATTGTCTCAATTCATTTTTATATATATGTTTATTATTTATGATATAAATTTAATGCTATATATCAAATACTAACATTGTAATAATCATAGTATAGTATAAACAGAAATAATACTATTTTTATAATAATACATAAATAGTATAATATAAATAATTTGAATAAATCTTATTAAAGAGTGTATATAATAATAATAATAATGTAATAATATATTATATATATATAATACAATACACACACATATGTATTTATTGCATATAGATAATATATAATTATTAAATAGTAATAATACTAATATTTAATTCCTAACTTTCTTATGGCTGGTCTTGCTGTTCTTACAAACATCTGAGAGTTTGTATACTTTAATGACAGACTGATTTGTATTAGGTAAATTTCTCTATTTAATCTCGTCTGGAAGAAACAAATGAGATATGTATGATTGTGGTCTTATTTGTGATTTTACTTTCCTATAGTTCTCTCTTTCTCAGGGAGATTTCACTGGAATGGTCTCCCAACAGCTCTTGGCAGCAGAAGTTCAATGCAGAGAGCAAACAGGGAATTCACCTTAAAAGGAGCCAATCTTGAGTCTCTATAAACCCGAGAGAGCCAAGAGTGTATATACAACTGCATGAAACAGTTTACAGTCACTCCAGCACTTCTTAAATAGATACTCGACGTCTGTTTTTCCTGAGTGTGTGTGTGGGAGAGAGTGATAGATTGTGTTTGCATGGCTTCACTTTCCTAAGAGACCTCTGTGTGTTTTTATTGTCCTGTTTTTACGGTCGTATATCATCTATAGTCTTTTTACTGTCTGATGCACAGCTTACACAACAAAACACTCACTGTTGGGCCACCAGACAAGCATGTGATGAATTAAACTTTGAACTCTGCAAGAAAATGACTTCCTTATTATGTATGTCACAGAAGAATGACAGATGTCTAATTTTGTTGGTTGAAGACATTTTCTGGGCATCATGTGAGACCAAAGGGCCTTAGACAAACACCAAAAACAATCACAGGATTATATGTGATTACACATAAAATTCTTTAACAGCCTGAAAAAAAAAACACTGTTAAACCATCCTGAAATTGTGGTCTTACCTGGTTTTAGCTGGTGTAGCATGGTTGTGTGCCCAAAATCCCTCTAAAACCATCTAACCAGACAAGCCTGGGCAGGTATAAGGCCCGAAACCAGATAATGCTACATGCAATCCTAAAGGTACAGTGACAAAAACAACCTGTTAAAGCAGGGGTCACCAAACTTGATCCTGGAGGGCCAGTGTCTTTCAGAGGTTAGCTCCCACCCTAATCAAACACACCTGAACCAGCTAATCAAGGTCTTACTAGGTATATTTGAAACGTCCAGGCAGGTGTGTTGAGGCAAGTTGGAGCTAAACTCTGCAGGACACCGGCCCTCCAGGACCGAGTTTGGTGACCCCTGTGTTAAAGGGTCAAGAGGTCAGAAAATGATCATGAAAATAAAAACAACAAAAAATGAAATATATTTTTGTGCAATATCCTAGATGGCTCATCCTGACAATTATGTATGAAAGCCAAAGTAATTTATATGATATTTTACCTGGGGTTTAAACAAAACCAAACAATTTGCCACAGCAGTGTTAACAGCGATAAAGATTCATTTTACTGGTAACCAGTCAAGGCAACATTGAAATTCAACATGAATTTGAATATTTTGTTTTGACACGAACTACAATGACAACAAAAACACAATGTTATGCTCTTGATTTAAGTTCCAGACTGGGTGCCTCATCCTGATAAAAATGGAAATGTGGTTTAAAACAGGAACAAATTTAGACCTTAAGAATCTCAAAACCATCTTCAGACAGACACAAAACTGCAATAAGAGGTTCTGAATATTTTACACGCAGCTCTGTGGTACATCAAACACAGCTGACAGCACTGCGAGATACAGCGCACATTAAAGCTTTCAGTGACATTTTCAGCTGAACTCAGTTAATATTTACTTTGATAGATTTAAAAATGTTCATATTAAACGTTCATAGTTAAAATTAAGAAAGTTTGCATTTAAAGAGTATTCGCTTTCATTCACCCAAGAAACTCAACACAAACTGAAATCATTGAAATTATTGTTTTAACTCGTATTTAAGCAAGAATATTTCTCTGATGTTGTCTCAAAAGATCCTCGGAGCAAAAAAAGCATTTTTAGCAGTATTATTGGATGTTTAATAATGCATCTTCACAATGTTCTGAATGTTTTCCGCACTGATAAACCTCTGCACTATGGAAGTCAGTTTCTGCCACAGAATTCAAAATGTAAAATAAATAGTGACTTCTTATTTCACAATTCAGTTTTTTTCTATTCTGAGTGAGATATAAACTCGTAATTCTGAGAATGTCAGAATTGTGAGACAAAAGCTCTTTATCCGAATTCTAAGTTTACATCTTGCAATTCAGTTTTTTTTTCTTTCCACCATGGAATAAAAAATAAAAAAGGTCATTGCCATTGACTTTTTGTCTCACAATTCTGAGCTTATACCTCACACCTTATGAATTTTTTCAGAATTGTCAGATAAAAAGTTAAAATTCTGAGAAGAAAACTTTGAACTGTGAAATATAAACTTGCAATTCCAATTACAAAAAATTAAAAATTAATTAATAATAAAAACAATTCAGAATGACCTTTTTTATTTTTTTATTCCATGGCAGAAGCAAGCTTCCATACTGCTCATACACTGAAAAAAAAATTGATGTAGAAACCAATTACTTAAATTGCTAGTACATTTTTACAAACAATTACAAAGAAACAAGCAAGCATTGAATTAAACCTAAAAATTCTTAATTAATACTGAAATGTTATTTTTTTGTGAAATATACTCCAACAATCTTTATTTACAACTTTGGAAAATACTTTGGTAACACTTTATTTCGATAGTCCACTTTAGACATTCTATTAACAGTAAGTAACTTTGCAACTACATGTCAACTAGCAGTTAGTAGAGTATTAGTAGACTGTCTGCTTAATATTTTCTAACACTTTCTTTGTCAACTTATTCTACTAACCCTAAACCTACCCTAACAGTCTACTCTGAGAGTTAGTAGACATGTAGATGCAAATTAATGAGAATTAGTTGACATGTAGTTACAAAGTTACTTATAGTTAATAGAATGTCTAAAGTGGACTATCGAAATAAAGCGTAACCAATAATTTTTTACAGTGTATAACACGGATGTTCTGCCTGTTTATAAGCATTAATGCTGTAATCCCGAGGCCGTGTAAATCGCAGACCAGAGCGAGAACATCACACCTGCCTCTGTCAAACAAACGTGCCTGATTTGCGGTTCTTCTCGTGCAGTAGAGATCTGTACACTGTCATTTTGAACATAACATAGGAACAGAGCTATACACAAGCTCGATTTATAGCGGAGAACACGAGCACATGGGTCCGGAGTTGATGCGCCATTCCTTTTGCTGCTACTCCTTAAGAAAACCAGAATCCCTTCGTTTGTTTATGAACTTTTACATCCTTCGAATTTTATTACTGACCCCCTGAGTGACCCCTGCAGTTCCTCTAAACACTACGGGGGTGTGAGTGCTCTCATTTAGGTCCTCTTGCTGTTATCTCTGTGATGATGAAGAATGTTAGGGGTTGTTATTTATACTCCTGGTGTCTGATAGGGAGGTGACGGTGGCAGACATGTTTATCT